GAAGTGGCTGTCTTTATGGCTGTCAGAGCCTCTGAGCATTAAGGTGGAGCTGGGGCATTTACTCTTATTCTCCACAGCAAGGTTTTTTAGGTTTTAGGGTTGAACGTTGTATAAATTACATCTTATTCAATAGTTAGAAGGAAAACTAATGAATATCTAAACGCTGGGAGCAGTGGCTCACGCCTGTAATCCCAGCACTTTAGGAGGCCGAGGTGGGTGGATCACGAGGTCAGGAGATGGAGACCATCCTGGCTAACACGGTGAAACCCCGTCTCTCCTAAAAATACAAAAAAAGTATCGGGGCGTGGTGGTACATGCCTGTGGTCTCAGCCACTCGGGAGTCTGAGGCAGGAGAATCGCTTGAACCCTGGAGGCAGAGGTTGCAGTGAGCCGAGATCGCGCCACTGCACTCCAGCCTGGCCGTCAGAGAGAGACCCCGTCTCAACAACAACAACAACAAAACAAAACAAAACAAAAAATCAAACTCATTAATAAGCCAAGAAACGGGATAAGATACCATTTATCACCTCTTAAATTGGCAAAGAATGAAACAAAATGATAAACACGGTGCGCTGAGGAAAGGGGCAGAGAAAAGACACAAATTTGTTTATAGTGGGAATGGAAATATAAGTAGAGAAACAGCAGAACCCTGGCCCCAAACAAGCGCCAGGAGACAAAGTTAAGGGTAGGGAGAGGTGGGGCAGGGGCTGCTCTATTTGTGATAATTTCTGTGGCATTAAGCTTCATATTTCTAAACAGCACATTTAAATAGCATTCCTTGATTTTTTTCAAATCTGTGAGGCATTTTCCCAGTTTTATTGTTTTCCCTGGGGCTCTACCTCCTGGTCTTCTCTTCTCCCCCAGCCGAGACTGGTGGTCCCCAGTCATGCAGCACAGCTATTGTCCTGGGATACTCTTTGCCATCACCTTCAGAATTCCTCGTCGGCTTCTTGTGTTAGACCCTGCTTCCCCGATCCTATGCCTTCCGTTTTCTCAATTTACCCTCTCATCTTTGTGGAACACAGCTTTGAGTAGCTTTCTGAATGTTTCGAGTGTTTGCATGTCTGTACATATCTTTTTCTTTTTTTTAGAGACAGCGTCTTGCTGTGTCTCCCAGGCTGGAGTGCAATGGTGCGATCTCGGCTCACCGATCTCTGCCTCCCGGGTTTAAGTGATTCTCCTACCTTAGCCTCCCGAGTAGCTGGGATTACAGGCATGGGCCACCACACGTGGCTAATTTTTGTATTTTTAGTAGAGACAGAGTTTTGCCAAGTTGGCCAGGCTGGTCTTGAACTCCTGAACTTGTGATCCATCCGCCTCAGCCTCCCAAAGTGCTGGGATTACAGGTGTGAGCCACCACACCTGGCCATTTTTAAAAATTTAATTAATTAATTAATTTTTTTTAAAAAATAGAAATGAAGTCTGACTGTTCTGTGCAGGCTGGTCTTGAACTCTTGGTCTCAAGCGATCCTCCCACCTCGGCCTCCCAACGTGCTGGGATGATAGGCATGAGCCACGGCTCCCGGGTGAGATTTACCATCTTGAACCATGACTCTTGCTCTCTCAGTCAGTCAACCAAATAACCAATTATTGATCAATCATCATTTGAACAATTACCTGTGTCCTGGGCTCTATGTTCTCTGGAGGATACAAAGGTTAATTTCCCTAACTTTGAGGATCTACTGTCTCTACACAAAAACACATAGGAAAGTTAACCACACAAAGCGATCTAGGGTCAGTAACAAAATTCTATTTTTTTTTTTGAGACATAGTCTCACTCTGTCGTCCAGGCTGGAGTTCCGTGGCGCGACCATGGCTCATGGCAGCCTGGACCGCCCAGACTCAAGTGATCCTCCCACCTCAGCCTCCCGAGTAGCTGGGACTACAGGCATACATCACTATCACACATGCCTAACTTCTAAAATTTTTTGTAGATACAGAGGTCTCATCATATTGGCCAGGCTCATCTCAAACTCCTGAGCTCAAGAGATGCTCCCGCCTAGGCCTCCCAAAGCGCTGGGATTACAGGCGTGAGCCACACAGGTACATTCTTAATGAGGAAATTCAGGGGACTGCCCTGGTGGAGGTGGACAGTTGGGTGCTCGACCGCCCAGAGGGCACAAAGGACCAACACGATGGGGGCGGCGAGAACTGGGGCCGTAGAAGCCAGCCTCGTCCTCCGCCCTCGCTTTCCCTACTGAAAATGCGCGAGGGGGACACTCCAGCGCAGGTGCTGACTTTCTGCTTCGGACACGCTCTCGCGCTCTCGGCGCTCCCCTTCCGGACTGAGGCGCCGGGGCTTCATCCGTTCCGGGCTTTGCCGCTCACCGCCTCTCCCTTCCCAGGCCGTGAGCCGCTTCCGCGTTTTACTCGGTGCCCGCAGCGCCGGGGCGTGGAGGCGTTGACG